AATTTACCAAAAAAAAAAACAACAAAAATGGTACAAGAAAATACTAATGCGGAGCTAACTTTATTATAAAATACTTTCTTGATGATTATCAGAAATCATTTTAAATGGACGAGAGTCGTATACATAAAACTCGATAAAAATATTTTCCTCTTTAATCGTGTTTATTAACTAAGAGTCGTGATAAAATTACTAGGAAACAAACCTCTAAAGAATTAATTATGCGTTTGAATCAATAGGCTAGTCTTGCTCTAGGAATTTAACACAGCTATTTCATCCCGTTCACATGATAGCGTAATCAAATCGATTGAGATCAATAATGTACCTGATTATTATTCATACGTTTAATGAATGGGCAATGATTTACATAAAGTTCCGAAGCGGAACCCCGAACAATGCCCACTGGGCGGGAACGCAGGCATTACCAATCGTAACACAATAGAAAAATATTCCTTACAATACTGTAACAAAACGTACTTTATAATGTCTAACTCAAAAAGAAAGAAAACAGCTCACGTGCTAGAATGGTTATGATTTGTGCGATTCCTGAACAGTATTTTTCATTAATCGACAATTATTGTTACTTACATAATTATCTTGCTTGCTTGGATGACTAACGTTTAAAATAGAAAATATACGCACATAATATTTTGTATAAAATGTTATTAATACTTATTTAATAGGCGAATTAATTACCACTTATAATAGTTTTCGTATGTTTGCGACTAGAAGTTAAAAATTACTTACACTTAAAGCTAAAAAAAACCCTGAAATACAAAATAGATAATTCGTTAAATGCTAACTACTTATAATTCTATGTAACAAGCGCCCGTATGTCCATACTCCGGATGTTCTTCTCTACATTTTATGTTACGTGATTTATAAATACGTTTTAATGTACCTAAACGTCTCTATACGAGTAACTTACAATGCCATAGACATGCAGTGGAAAAAAGTGTAGTCAATGGAAAATAATTTTACTTAATGGAAAATATTTTTGCAACTCATGGTTAACACTCAACACTCCACATTTTTTGTTTTTGGAATAAATAAATAAGTCAAATCCTATGTGGTTGCATAGACCGCGGTAACGATTAATTTCTAATGTGTCTCAATTCGCTGGTACTTGAAGGGTTAAGTGTTACCACATGGGAATAGAACCTATTACTGCTATTACTTCCGGATCGAAAAAACCTTCGCTAGCCACTAGATAACGGAGGCGGTACTCTGTAAGCCTTAAGCCTCTAGAGGTCGCTGCCGGTGTCAAGGCCGCTGCGCAAGAGTTTACGACTCGTTGTCAGAAATTACATGAACATTACAGTTTTATCACAACCATGCGACTAACGCACATAATGTAACAATAACAATTGAATGTGTGGCGAGATCGTGACTTATATGCTATCTAGTGTAATTTATGTTCTACATATTGTTATACAGATTGGACGTTATTTATGTCATATTGTACATATAACCCTGAACACATGACGCTTTATTGTATTTATAACATATGTACTTAGGTACTCTAACATGAGTAAAACAAGCTGGCAGTGTCGGCAAGCTCGTGTGTTAGCTAGTCCTACCACATACAAGCCAATCTAGCTATTAAATGTAAATGTAGAAGTAATACCTAAGTAGTAAAGTTTTAATAAACGAATACGTTTAAATTAATAAAAAGAAACATAGTTTAAACATAATCATAAAAAATGATAAGTTGTGGTGTAAGAAGAGAATGTATGTGAATAAGCACTTATGGGCAGATATGTACCATCCTAGACTGCATCTCACTTAACACCAAGTGTGATTGCGTCCAAATACCTGCCTTGTTCTTCTTCTTTTTTGATGATGTTGGCAAATAGGTACACGTCGAGGTCGACTTTATTTGTGCCTTTTCAAGTATTTATGTGATACGGATACGAGTTACAAAATGAGATCAAGTAATGATATAATGAAGGATGATAGATGATACCCCCTTCCCACCCTTTGAGTCTCAGTAAAGTTGTGGTGCTTTACTGAGACCTCCTATGGACAACTTGGGAGAACCAGAAGAATCACGATGCACTGCTTTGCTTCACTTGCCCACACTCATGCACGTTCACGAACACTTAATGGTTAATAATCCACCATTATTACACATTAATAGTCGCCCGAACACGAATTTGAGGAAATAAAACAAAACCGCTAACATGACGCTTCAGATTCCCGCCAAGAAGTCCATCACCTGCCTTGTTATGCGTAAAAAAAAGATTCAACACCACGTAAGTCATTTTTAGACAGATTTGACATTTTGATGCCATTTGCAAGAGACTCGAAAGACGCGTCGTTTCGTCCAATCTCCTGAAAAGTGGCTAAAATTACTTACGTGGTGGTGATAGAACTTAAACGACGATACGTAACTTAGGTAACCTTTTGTTTAGATATCGCATCATGCATGCTACAATGTAGTATTTTTCGTAGTAGACCCGTAGAACTATTGATGACCTAACATTAATAACAAATAGGTACTCTGTAACAAAAATAAATGACCTACGAGTACCATCTCACCTGTCTTATTGCCTAATTTGTTACCGCACCTGACACTCACCTTGACCCCGTGCCCTTGGGAGGTCGTTGTCCCAAACTGACAAAATATTGGTAGTTATTTGTAATCTCTCATTAGGCGCGCGCGCAGCTTTCTTTCCCATAAATCTAAAATACTATTAGGAAGTATAAATTGCCGAATGAATGAACCTCACACGATGTTTTTTGTATTTATCGTTATAAGTATTAGAGAAAAGGGTTTGGTAAAGATGCAACCACACTGAAGACATCCAAATATTTTTAGTGGGTCAGAAATTTTTTTTTTTAACTTAAAACCTTCAGTAATATTGTTACGGAATGTTGCTTAATGTTACTAATGTGTTAAATCACGTTTGTGAATACGAGCTATAAGTCTCAATTTATGGTATTCTAATCTCAGACTGTTGTCTTCTTCTCCGCACTAGTCCATTAATTTATTGTCCCGAAACAGTGGTAGGGTTAATACTGCGTCGTGTTTTTACACGTGCTGTTGAAAGCCTACTTGCAAAAATATAATGAGTTTTATGACTTTTTTTATGAAAGTTGTTGCTTTCATCATCATCATCATCATTTCAGCCATAGGACGTCCACTGCTGAACATAGGCCTCCCCCAAATGCTTTCCATGTTGATCGATTGGTAGCGGCCTGCGTCCAGCGCTTCCCTGCTACCTTTACGATGTCGTCGGTTCACCTTGTAGGTGGACGTCCCACGCTGCGTTTTCCAGTACGCGGTTGTTGCTTTGAAAGTCTAAAAAGTGATAAGTTAACGATAACTTGCTCTACAAGAAAATGGTTCCTTGTAGATGTACCACAACGGTTAATAGTCGCGAGCAGTGGCAGTGTAACAAGGATGGCTCGGGGCATAAATTGTACTTTTGACAGTTAATGATACATTATTACGAAATGGCTCGTTAAAGAGTTATGTTGCTCCGATTTCGTGACGTTTATATGAGCTTCAATTAAATAAATTAGACGCTCGTTAAACATATCTGTTATTATTAGACATTTCTTTAGGTAATTTGTATTGTTATGATGTAATCAACTATTTCAGGCTGCTAATTAAGTTCTATGTTCGATAAAAATGTGTAAGTAACGGTTTTTACGAAAATAATACGAGTAAAAATACAGACTTGTAAAGTGTTAATAATACACATTATTTTCGTCTCAATTATTAAGATAATTTACGCGGAAACACGCCTACGTTTCAGTAACATAATTATCACACAAAATTGGCCTGTCAGTGTTCAATTCATTATATTACGTCCTTATACTCTTTCGTAATCTGTGCTCCGTGAAAACGCGACAAAAACTGACTGAAAGACTCGAGAGAGGTTTTATTTTTATATTCCGTGATACTTAATTCTACGATATCGGTTAATATTCTCAAGTGGTGTAAAGAGCATCATAATTATTATCTTACTCGTAGATATGGTCACAGAATATTTATAACCAGCTATAAAAACAAATTAATTGATGTGCCCCGCCACAATTCGTCCTTTGGCCATTAATATTGAGTTACGTGCGCAGGCGCGCGTTAAAATTGATTTTAACGACGGGACACGACTTTTACCGGAGATGGTCGATCCTAAGGAAACATTAATATTAATCACCACTCATTTAGTGATTTCTAAATATTTTGTATACCTTGTTGCTTATCTTAACATCTTTGAAGATGCTATAAATTAGTTTTCTCTCCGTCTCCGTTCTTCTCTCGTTACACTCAAAACGAGATTTTTACGTAATCATAATTTCAAACACGAATGTTTTGATATTGGATTGATAGCCGGGTGTTTTTTACTTTGCGAGTAAAAAATATGAGGGTAGATTTATTTAATTCTACCTCACATTACGGGGCGCCAAATACTCGCTGCTCCAGTCGATTTGCGACCGCGGTCGGTGTAATAAGTAGACCGTCAGCGTAACCCCAAAAAAAATGTCGTGTAAATTGATAATTATTATTAATATCTTATATATCTTACATGTTAATCAGCGTCTATATTTTCTCTTCAACAAAGTGACGGGTGTTGTTAAAAGAACCTAAATAACTATAATTTCAAAGCACGTGTGAAAAAAACAACTTGATTAGGTATCTATTCCATTTGAGAATGTTTTTATCAAAGATTGCGTACCAGCTTGAAATCAAAGATTGCACGAGTGGTGTTAAATGTGAAGTAGGTAGGTACCTACCCGATTTTCATAGATGAAATATCAAAGGTACACCTACACATAACGTTTAAGTACCAGAAAAGCAGGAGACACGAAAACTGTGCTTATTATTTTCAGTTAAAATATTTTGTCTCTCCTGGGTCCTATTCGTCTGGATCTTATACATAATGTTGTGGTTAGACACCCCTCACTCACCCTTAACCAATTTAAAACTCTTTTTGTGATATCTCCACCATTTGTAGAAGGTAATATATTAATACCATACTATTATTTCCAGATGCTTGTGTCCTGGTGAGCGGCATGGGCCAGGCGGGCAGCCAGCCTGCGCCGGCGCCGACACAGCGCGCGCGCCGGGCACACACGCTGCCCCACGAGCCGCCGCGACACGCGCCCAAGGTAACCACGACCTTATTACTTACTGCATAAAGTTCAAGATGCTGTGTCCTGGTGAGCGGCATGGGCCAAGTGGGCAGCCAGCCTGCGCCGGCGCACACGCTGCCCCACAAGCCGCCGCGACACGCGCCCAAGGTAACCACGACTTTATTACTTACAGCGTAAAGTTGAAATTGACGTGGCTTCTGTTCCGTGCGCACACGCTGCCCCACGATCCGCCGCGACACGCGCCCAAGGTAACCACGACTTTATTACTTAAAACGTAAAGTTCAAAAACAAATTGGTAAAATGTTAAATGTATTTCTCTTTCTGAATCGACCACCAGTGCCAGCCTAGCCAACGTGTGGAGCTTATGTTCCATGAGAGTTACATTTAATTTTTTATTCCTTTAAACCTGTAGACAATGCCAACGAATTATTGCTACTGCAAGAAAGCTTTATTAATAGGTACCTATGTACATGAATCTCGAAAAATTGTAAGAAAAAAATATTTTTTAGATTATATATCCTAGATTTTTTATCTGTTTTGCATCTCGACGTTTCTAAAGGCTCTCATTATTGCTCATGCTGTTTAGTTAAGCTTACACAAGTAATACGAGCATAAATGGTCGAAATAACTCAAGAAATATTTTCTACTTTTGACTGACTAAAATTATTCAATTTAACGTCTATGCAATGCAAAATGGTTTCTGACATATACGTAAACTTTACCACTTTTCTTTAAAAACAACCATCCGCTTCCAGGTCCTGCCGTCGCTGCCGGAGTCGCCGCGCCTGCGCAGCACCGACAACGGCGCCATCCTGCAGTCCGGCGGCACCATCAGCGGCCGCCGACCCGCCTCCACGTTGCACGACACCTCCAGGGTCCCCCATGGACATGTGGTCAGTAACCATTTATCACTTCTTAAATGTAATTTTAAGAATCCTTGCTACACAGTAGCAGGGGAACTTAGAGATACAGCTGCCAAAGACACCCAACCAGTGACCTGTTTGTAATTCCACTGCTGTTACTCCTGTGGTAGTAACGACGCCGCTCCACCTCCACGCTACAAGATGCCTCCAGGCTCCCCCATGGAAATGTGGTCGGTAAACCATGTAACACTTCGTCTGTGTAATACCACCACTGATACCCCTGTGTAGCTAGGATCAGGTACAACTGCCCAAGACACACAACCTGTGACCTTAAGTTAGCGATAATAAGCTTAGGTTTTATTAGACAGTCGATGAAGCACATTATGTCGTGCCCTGCGTGCTCAAACAACTGCAAGATTTAATGAATGTTACTGACAACGCCACTCATGTAGCGGAGTTTTGGGCTGACACTGTATAGGTTTGTTGTCGACACGACAAGAAAAAGTGACCTGTATTAAATCCCACCACTGCTACTCCTGTAGCGATACCGCCCCATCTCCACGCTGCAAGATGCCTCCAGGGCTCAGGGAATCTCACTCAGAACATCACAATCTAGAGAGTGCACCTCTCTAAACACTGGATCACAGAAACGTTTTTATTAGAATAGAAAAATAGAGCAGTTATAGGGCCTAAGCACTCATTCTATAAAAACAAGGTTTTAGTTTGTATACTTCTTTTTTTCCAGCACTCCAACATAATGTACCGCTCCCGGTCGGCGGGCGCGCCGGGCGAGGCCAGCGAGCAGCGCGCCCGCGAGCGCGACCCGCTGCACCGCTCGCACACCAACCTCGACCTCAGGCACAACGACAGTAAGTGCATTATTGCTCACCACCTTCTTAGACTCTTCTTGTTTAGTATGCTAAGTGAGCTGCCACACTGGACAATTTTCCGAGGCGAAGAAGTCGCGAGACGCGACGTGTTCGCTGCGTCGCCGCTACGCTTTGAAAGCGCTTGTAAACCGCCAGTGTGTTAAGGCCCTAAGACTTCCCTGTGTGCCTGTACTTACAAAGATCGTTATACAGTCGTAATCAGAAGAGACACCTTTCTTTTTCAGGTAGCAGTAGTTTAAATAAAAGGTTTGGATCAGAACCTGATCTGCGAATCGAAGAAGAACAGCAAAAGCCCAAATGTAATAAACATTTCAGAAAAAAATATCGAGCACCACCTCCTCCTACCCATGATGTAAGTATTCTAATAACAACTATTTAAACAACTATCTAAAACCCAATAATATTGACACGATTGTTGTTTATTTCAGAACTGCGAGGGTTCATCGCCAGATTCCAGCGAAGGGAACGCGAGAGCAGAACCCCAAAGGAAACTAAGGCTTTTCAAAACTAGAAACGAAACCAAAAAACTGAACGGACACTTAGATAGTAAACCAGCCTTCAGAACTAGTAGTACAGAGTACAGATCGCTAGACTATAATGAGAACCAAACCTTTGAAAGAAGATACAGATCGCCGTGCAAAGACAAAGAGCAGCATTACAAGTACCCGGACAACAAGGATATGGTGCAGAGTTCCGCGTCTCTGAAAAGAGAGGAACGAATATTGCAAACGAAACAAGACTACAGAAAAACAAGGACAGATAGAGTCAGCGGGTGTAGAGCGAAAACATCCAAGACAAATGAGCAGAGTGAGGCGTGGAAGACACCACTTCTAAACAGGAATTTCAGATATTCCGAAAGATTCAAGAAGGAAGACAGTGAGCAGCCCTCACTGAGGAGAGAAAAGACATTCGACAACACTTTACACGTGAGTGAGAAAGAGAGCGAGTCTCCCAGAGCCATACATGAAAACAGAATCAAAGCCATAGGCGAGCAACTGAAAGGAAGTCATCTCAGCCCGTTAGCGGACAACAAGCCTTTGAGAAAATCTCTTCCTTCACTATTAATGAAGAATAATGAAGAAAAAGATGAATTCCAAGCTGAACTTAAAAAGGCAACAAGTAGGATAAGAAACGAATTAGGCGGTAAAATTAATATTAGTGAAAACAAAACTAGTCAAAACGATAAACCGAGCGCGCAGAAACCAAACCCAACGAAATTAGCAGTCCAGAGCAAAGTCAAAGAGTCTAGTCTTAAACCGAGCAATGTTATCAAACCAGAAACAAAATCAGCAATCAGCAGACGGCCTCTGGCCCGAACGAATGAAGTCAAACCTAAGACAGCCATCCCACAGAAAACTACTCCTAATGCGAAGAGTAATGCAATAGTTAGTAAATCAAAGTTTACCGGCAAAGAGAATGGCCGGACGATACCGGACAGGGGACAAGCTTCTGGCAAAGAATCTACACCTGAACATTCGCCGACTAGGAAAAAGGATATTGCGACTAGCCAAACTGCACCAGAAAAGTGAGTAAATCTTGCAATAATGCTTCAAGAATTTTGTACTAACTCTTCAGAAGTGTACTTCTGCCCCTATCCAAAAGTGTGATAACGTTACAGCTTTAATGCGTCTCGACTTCCAGAACTTTTAGAAGTTCATAAGGCGCCATAAGTTAACTTGATGCATTTTCATCATCATCATCATCATCATTTCAGCCACAGGACGTCCACTGCTGAACATAGGCCTCCCCCAATGACTTCCACATCGCACGGTTGGTAGCGGCCTGCATCCAGCGCCTGCATCTTATGCATCTTAGTCTATACCTATTTAACAAATAAAAAAATATTCTTGCAGACAAAAATCAGCGCCATCAAAGCAATTCTACTTCGGCATGATCGAGAGCAAGCAGACGGCGCCGCGCGACCACCTGAAGGATTTCCCCGGGCTCGGCAGCCCTATCATCGAGGAGATCAGCAACTTCCACCTCATAGAGAAGAAGCTGCTCGGTTACCACGACGAAGACGCCGAGTTCGACAAGTTCAACGCCAAGCTGAAGGAGGACTGCAAGACTAAGAACTGTGAGTCATTTTGGTAACTGATATGAATCAAAGCTACGGTTCAAACAGCGGCGTAACGTAACTATAGGGTGGCAGGGCTGGCAAAATGCCACGGGCCCCCGACCTAAGGGGCCCCCCAGCCCGAGACCCTAATCTCACTCCCCAATAACCCTAGAGTTATTTTATTTTTCTTGGCGTATTATCTAGACACGCCAAGTGCCCCATGTATATGTAGAATTTGCCACGGGCCTCGGATGGTATAGTTACGCCACTGGGTGCAAATGTAACTCTGATCATGATTCAAGTAAATATCATAAGAGTAGCTAGGTAATGGCAGAAATATCAGCAACATCATTTCAGCCAAATGACGTCCACTGCCTGACAAAGGACTCCTCAAAGAATTTCCACAACGACCGGTCCAGCACTGCCCCCTTCAAAGTACTTCCAGCGACTTTCACCAGATCGTCGTTCCACCTAGTGGAAGGCCTGTCCACTGCTACTGCTACGCCTTCATTAGTAGACCGTCAAAAACTCTGGAAAAAACCCAATAATTTGTAACATAAAAGTAACACCTCAAAAGCCATTAAAGTGTTTCGAATCATAATTATTTTTTGCAGTATCATCAGAATCGGCGCTATCCTCAGACGGGTCTGAGGGCTCGGGCTCCGAGGGCTCGCTGGGCATCGCGCTGCGGCTGCGGCCCACGCTGCCCAAGAAGCAGCCCTCCATGCCGCGCTTCTCGCCCGCGGCCGCCTGGAGGCAGCTCGCCTCGCTCGACGCGCACCTGGCTTCTGGTGAGTGTAGGACGGGGCTCGGGCTCCTGGCTCGCTGGGCACCGCAACCCGCTGCCCAAGAAAGCTTCTCGCCCGCGGCCGCCTGGAGGCAGCTCGCCTCGCTTGACCGCACGCACCTGGCTTCTGGTGAGTGTAGGACGGGGCTCGGGCTCCTGGCTCGCTGGGCACCGCAACCCGCTGCCCAAGAAAGCTTCTCGCCCGCGGCCGCCTGGAGGCAGCTCGCCTCGCTTGACCGCACGCACCTGGCTTCTGGTGAGTGTAGGACGGGGCTCGGGCTCCTGGCTCGCTGGGCACCGCAACCCGCTGCCCAAGAAAGCTTCTCGCCCGCGGCCGCCTGGAGGCAGCTCGCCTCGCTCGACGCGCACCTGGCTTCTGGTGAGTGCAGGACGGGGCAGCTCGGGCTCCGGGCTCGCTGGGCATCGCGCTGCGGCTGCGGCCCACGCTGCCCAAGATGCAGCCCTCCATGCCGCGCTTTTTTTTTTATGTGACAAGAGGTAAACGAGCAGACGGATCACCTGATGGTAAGCAATTGCCGTCGTCCATGTACACCCGCAACATCAGTGAAGTCACAAGTGCGCTGCCAACCTTTTAAATCCCTTTCCCCCCAATTGGGCCTCCGGTACCCTCACTCACTCGGCGAAGTTTCTGTGAGGCCGTGGTATCACTCCGGTCGAGCCGGCCCATTCATGCCGAAGCGTGGCTCTCCCACGGTCAGCTTCTCGCCCGCGGCCGCCTAGAGGCAGCTCGCCTCGCTCGACGCGCACCTGGCTTCCGGTGAGTGCAGGACGGGGCTCGGGCTCCTGGCTCGCTGGGCATCGCGCTGCGGCTGCGGCCCACGCTGCCCAAGAAGCAGCCGTCCATGCCGCGCTTCTCGCCCGCGGCCGCCTGGAGGCAGCTCGCCTCGCTCGACGCGCACCTGGCTTCCGGTGAGTGCAGGATTTGACCGCAATCGCACCTTGTGTTACGTGAGATGCAGTCTAGGATGGTACATATCTGCCCTGTAAGTGCCTTTCACTCTCGCCTTAAAAAAGCCCGGATTATAGTGTTTGGGAAAGACAGCAGCAGGCAGCGAATTCCAGTTCCTAGCTGTTCGCATTATAAAAGAGTTATCGAAACTTTTAATGCGAGCTAGTCGAATGTCGACAATGTAGGGATGATATCCATAATATTGATTGAATTTTATATTTGACCCAGAAACGCAGCCACTGGCGGTGGAAACCAAGATGTCAGCGGACATATCAGCGGAATCATCGCCGCGATCGGAGCAGTCGGCCGACAAGTCGGGCGACTCCGGTATCTCGGGCGACCACGCGCACAGCGACCATCGCGTCGACTCGCCAAGACATCACGTGAGTTCTGGTGCCACTAACATCTTCTAAATTCAGATCCGAATAGATCACCTATGGATAAGATCACCTAGGTGATTCAAGTGGAATTCATAACCAGGGATGATCAAAGGACACCAAAGTGTTGCCTGGAGTCCACTTTGATCACTTGGGTGATCAAATCCAGATGATCAAAGTGGAATAAATGATTAAAATTACCTATTTACTTCGAATTACGTAAACGAAATGCAGGAAGGTTGTTCTTGTATCAACCTACACAATCAATGTTCCTATAATATGAGGCAACTATTGTCCCCAACAGTATAATATACGAGTATGAGTGTCGGATTACTGCCAATTCAAAGATTGTTAGTTTGAACTTCGTCGTCCTTTGAACCACTCTATTTAGCTTAGTTTAAACTAGTGACCCGCCCTAGCTTCGCACGAGTGCTACATACAAACCTTCCTCTTGAATCACTCTATCTATTAAAAAAACCGCAACAAAATCCATTGAGTAGTTTTAAAGATCTAAGCATACATGGGGACAGACAGCGGAAAGTGACTTTCTTTGCTATGTAGTGATGAATTATTAAAAAAAAAATGCAACCTTAATTGTATTATAAATAGATTAATTGTCCTGCATAAATGAACACAAATTGCTAAAATTCTGTATTTAAAATATCCAAACCTGTCAGACCCAGGAGTCATCTCCCGCTGCATGGACGCCCCAACAAGACCTGGGCGACAGCAGTTCGGACGGGGCGGGCGGCGTTGCGCTGCACGTGGGCGGGCCCCGCGTGGCCACCTACAGCCCCGGCGCGCAGCCCTTCAGCCTCTCCCTGCCCCGGGACGGACAGGACAGGGTGAGAACAGTCAGCACCTGTCGGGACGTTAGGGGACTGGTTTGAACTGCTTTTGGGGTTGCACCTGTTATGGCGCAAGAGCGAGAAATAGGCCGAGACGTGTGTGAACACCATCTTTGTTACTTTATCCTTCCTCTACCCGTGCGTCGTTCATACTTCAGTGTGCGATCTAGCGCTTCGTCTCGGTCAATTTTCCGCATGTACTTGCGCCATTCGATTTTTGGTGGAAAAGTTTCGCGTATTTTAACATCGTCATTGACTATTAGCTCTGTAATAGAAGTTGCAAAAATTAAAGTTTACTTCTGTTTGTTGATCACCATCTAACAGGTATTTATCCCAAAATCAGTGGTTTCGAAATAGTAATAATATTGGTTGGTTTGTGTCGGTTAAGAAACTCATCGCGGTAACTAATATCTAACAAACTACTCACCTAACCTCCCGATCATACCGTAGCTGAGGAGGAGTAAAGGTGTCATTTCTACTAACCTTTTAACATACTATTTTGTTCAATTTCAACTAACAAACCTGCTGTTAAGCACTTTTATTACATACTCACTTATTGGCTTGGTGGTGCTTTGCTTTTGGTTCTATATTCTGTATCTGTAAGCATATTCCTTTATTATGATGCTTTATAATTTCGTTTTAATACCTCTGCCTATACGTATATCAAGGTATCTTTTCCTTTCCTATTCATTACTGTTAAGACTTCGCAATTTTGATCAGAAGAATTTCCAATTTTACCCACAATGCGGAAAAATCTTGGCTTGCATCTCATTCTCCCCCGTTTTACTACTATTCAATCCAATTTCAATTCATCACGTTACTCAAACTTATTTACCTGTATTTTCTTGCTATTTTTTTATTTTATTCAATCCATGATTTTCTCTATCCTTACCATAACAGACCTTTATTCCTCGTCAGCTCCCTATAAGAACAGCTCGAGCCCCCCATAGTTTAAAGGGATGTCGTGCTTCTACGAATGCTTTCAGGGCAAGCCCTTGCAGCAAGGCTTCAACAGCCTTCAGAAGCTGCGGAAGTCGGTGTCGGGAGCTTTGGGCGCGGCCTTGGGCTCCCGAAGGTTCGACCTGGAGCACGAGCCGATGCTTCAGGAGCCTGAACAAAACTGGTTCTTGACGAAGTCAGCGCCGAACTCGCTGAGTAATCCACTGCTGTTCCAGCAGCCAAGGGCTAAGGGTTCTACTGAGGAAGACATTAAAGAAGAATCAATTGCACCTTCCGAGAAGGTAAAGATTTATTTTAGTTGCACGAGACTCAAATGATTAAGTATATAAATTTTTTGACTATACTACTTAAAAGCAAATAATTAATCAATAAATACGAGTATTAGCATTATAAATAGAAGTCAATATTCGCAAAAAGTTGACCACAAAATAATAAAAATTGTGCCTGAACATCATACTGATGTTTATTAATTACTGCGATACTCACTCACAATGTTAGGTATTATATCCGAGGATGATGTCATTTATAATGGCCATACTTATCTCTATTTTTTAATACCCTGATAATGCCATTTCGTCCAACAGGTACTTAGTTGATATCTTTGCGGATTTTATTTTAACTATAGACAGTTATTTTGTTCGACGTAACGCAGCGTGCTACGTCCAACCACATACATGGTGGTACTACCATCTGGGCGATGTTGAAATCATTGGTAGAGGCCTATGTTCAGCAGTGGACGTCCTTCTTGAAATGATGATAATGATGATTTTGTTCTAACATTGTTTTTTTTTCTATTTTTTATGGAGAACAAGGCAGGTATTTGACCGCAATCGCACCTGATGTCAAGTGAGATGCTGTCTAGGATGGTTTTTCCTAATATCGCTATATTACCCAGGACGACATGGCGGCGTGGCGGCCCAGCAACTCGTACCTGTCGTGGGGCGGCCACGTGATGTACCTGCCGCCCGCGCCCGCCGCGCCCGACCAGCCGCTCTCCATGCTCGCCATCGACCGGCCTGTCAGGTGAGCCTCATATTCTTTTGCCTGTCACATAGCATGCCACATGCTGTACCTAGCCACCCACATAATAGGAAGCTCGTAAAGCCATCTTGTAAACATTTGGGAGAAATCCCAATTAATTGATATAGTCCAAAAAATTGCAGCTGAAGTGAAGAGTGGCCATCTGTCAGATAAATCTACGAAAGGTGAATTCTTCAATAGAAACCACTTCTCGGCAAATGTTGCCAGAACGCTCACCTTTTCGATAAACCGAAGATTTCAAAAGCATAGCTAGCAAGGGTGAACAAATAAGGCGGGAGAGCTCTGCGATGATTTAATGGTTGAGGCAATATAGTTTCTTCTATTTTTACCATTTCGCTACAAAAATCGCGTAAAACTTTTATTGATGTTCATCTTCAAAATCCACTTACCGTAAGGCAAAGCAGGAGAACACTTCATCCAAGCTGTTATTTCCCTCTCAGGAGCAAGTCGAGCGGCTGCCTGGAGGCGGCGGCCCGCGCCGCGCGCGCCGCTCTCGCCAGCGAGATGCGAGAGCGCGAGCGCTCCGCCTCGCCCGAGCTGGCGCGAGCGCTGCCCGCACGCGTCGAGCCCGTTAGCGTGAGTACTGAATATTTTAGTTTATCACACAGAATGATACAATTAAAGCCTGGTCCGTGAGCACGTAGCTGAGCTCGCACACTCACTGCGGGCGCGTGTCGCACAGTCGCGACAGCAATATAATTACGCGCGAGCGATAAGGATGGGTAGCTTGGGGTCATTGGACAAAATTCTACGTGCTCACGGACCAGGCTTTAACAACAATGTTAACAGCAGTGTTGTGTTCCGGCAGTTAGAGGTAAGATAGCCAGTTCCTCTGTAGTTGAGATTTCCGGGTGTAGCTCGCTTCCACCTTCGGCCTGATTCATCACTTACCATCAGGTGGGATAGAGGTCAAGAGCTTCCCCGTTGGGGATAAAAAAAATATTCACGTGTTTGAGTGTAAGTGCAGTGCATATGTTGTTATGTTAAATTGGTTACATGCATGGTATCAATTACAATCTTAAGCAATTATAGGTAATGCTCCTGGACTATTTTAAAATAATAAAGTTTTAAGTTTGACGTGAGCCGGGCTAGGGAGTCTCAGTGACTTGATCCACTTTTAACTTGGTCCACGGGCCAAGTCGCTGGTTTGAATTTTTAAATACTTTTCCTTTCAGTGACTGGGACCAAGTTAAAAGTGGAAAAAGTCACTGGAAGACTCTAGGATACGCGCTATGATACAATCTTATCGATGATTTTAGACGTCGAATGTATGGGCTTATCGCGTAAAATCGATTAAATGTCTCATTATATACCGCTGACGCTATATTTCTGCTTACAACTTCACTATTTTATTGCAAAAGTTAGCTAGATCTAAAGTCTAACAGAGTCTACTTTAAACACAAAAATAAAACCAACATTTCAACTTTTTCAAACGTAGATCATGTCTGCCACGGATATTAAAAACAATTTTGTTATAACTATATTCCTTATGATACTTTTATTAACATACAATAAGAAATCAGGTTTTGTACACTTCCTTGAATTTTATAGCAGATTTCAATAGTCGATAAAGCTTAAATTATGGATGAACTATCTATTCTAATGGATTTATTATGTTAATTGGATGCGTTAAAGATATGCTTTAGTTAGGCATTTTTTATATTGCAACATAAAGTCTAGCTGAGTAACCGAGCAGTGTATCAGTCACCTATAGCATCATCTAGTTAAATAAAATTTATTTTCATTTTTCCAACTACTGCCAAAATAGCCCCATGAGCTTCAAATAATACTGTGTGAATGCTTGTGCTTATCACAAATTTAATATACCTAATTGTATCTAGCGGGATCGAACCCATAACCGCTTTTTTGGTCTACCAGGCGAGACTGCAGGAAATAAACTATTGCGGCTGAGAACATACAATGTTAAATCAATTTGCATAAAATGAAATATTGTAGAGACTCAAAGACAACTGTTTTTCCTTCAGTCACCTGTAAATCAAAGGATAATTTGCTTGTAAATGTCAAGATCGTTCCGCTCTTTAATATTTCAATAGGTCAAAAATATAGATTGTATCCAATCAATCATGGTGCAAATGTTAACGTAAAATATGTTTGTTGTATGATAATATCTATCGTCCTTGAAAATTTGGAGTACTTCCTATACTTCTATGGTATACTTATTATTTTGTTCTCAAAAATATAATCTTTATTTTTGTAATCTATCAACAGCTTTACATGGAAATGGAAAGGATATAGATCCATATCTTTGTACTTGTCCATAATCTTCTGATTAATCTGAAAATGCATTAAGCCTTAGTTAATATCTAAAATCTATTAAATGATGTCAATTTTTCTCTACCAGGCCATCAGTAGTAACTTAACATATTATGTAATAAGATGAATGCAGATGCTAATCTGCGGCGTAGTTACAAACATCACTCCTCTCTTCTGAGTTGCGCAAACGCAGCGCGGGATTAACGTCTTTTGTTTAGTTAATCTGATTTATTATGTCTTATAGCGTAATGTCTTTACAAATTGAATCGTTTCAAGGCCGTCCTCTAGTAATACTGTGTGTTTAATGGTATCGTTAAGGCGGCTTTTATCTTGAAACTAGCTTTAACACATTGCGACTTGGTGTAGCGCTTTTTTAGCGCTTCGGACGTGCGACATCATCTATCTATACAAATTGTAAGCGTGTCTTAGAACAAAAACGCTCGTTTGGCGAGTTGCAAAAAAGCAATTATTGTTGTTATGGGGTTTAATTAATAAAGCGCCATGATTATTTATTTCAACTTGCTTGTTTATTGCAATCTTACACATGCAAAATATAAATTACAACGGAGCACATCAAAACAAAACTTTTCAGTCGGCCATTTTTCCACAGAGAGTGACCATAGACTTTGAGCTAGCTTTTTAAACTCTAAACCATAAATAAATGTTTAGTGTTGTCATTACTCAACACTCTTCCTCAACATAAACATTTATTTACATATTCATACAGTCCCAAACCTTCAATTAAACTATAGAATACATTTTTACTTAAAGGCTTAGTTAAGATATCAGCTAACTGATTTTTAGAATTAACATAAACAATATTTATCAAATTTTCTTCAACCTTTTGTTTAACAAAATTAAATTTTACATCAATATGCTTTAATCGCTTTATATCACAACCTTTCAACGATTTAATTGTACTCTGGTTGTCTTCAAAAATAGTTACAGTTGGAACATCTACATTTAGGTCATTTAGTAATTTAATCATGAAACAAGCTTCCATTACAGATTCACACAAACTAACATACTCAGCTTCAGTTGTACTAAGTGCAACACTACTTTGCTTTTTAGATTTCCATACAACAGTATTGTTATAAACTTTAAATAAATATCCAGATGTTGACTTTCGATCATTATCTCTAGCAAAATCAGCATCTGCATATCCAACAAGTGGTTCACTTAAGTCATTTTTAGTATAAAGTAATACAAAGTTAATTGTCTTTTTAACATATCTCAATAATCTCTTTAAAGCACGCCACAGTTGTAACAATTGAAGGCACTCGAGCTCGTCTCTTTGTTGTTTTCATTAAACTTTTTCTTCTTTTCTTCCTCTGCGAGAAGTCTTTCCATGACTGTGCTCAGTTTCAGGTCTCCCATTGTCTCTAATGCGGTGACTACGCCCTCGTAGCTTTTTGGCATAGATAAAAGTATGTAGTTAATTTTTTCCTCGTCTGACAAAACTGATTCTGCCTCCTCCAACTGAGTGCAGATTTCTTGAATTTTGGTAAAATGTTCTTTCAGTGGTTTGCTCTCTAGATACTTTATTTCGTTCAGCTGTCTTCTCAAAAACAATTTTCCTCTTGTACTTTTTTCTTTGAAGTTTTCCTCTAAGTTTTTGTACATTTTAAATGCACTTTCTTGGCGTACATATTGAAGATGACTATCAGCCACTGCGCTAATTATTAGAGCCTGTGCCCTTGCTTCGAGGCTCTTATTTTCGGCTTTCTTGGAGAAATTTTCGTCAATCACAGCGCCCAGGCAATTTGCCTCATTTAGCATACTTTTCATTCTAAAAGCCCAATTCGAAAATCCTTCCCCATTGAATTGTGCAATGTTATATCTGTTGTCTTTCGAACACGACATGATGACGATGATATTCGTAGATGTAATTTTCGGTACCATAAACCTTTCCAACAATGTCCTCCACTCGTGGATGCGATTGAACTTAATTTCTTGTGACAAATTCTTCTGGGCCCATAACTATTGTTGTTATGGGGTTTAATTAATAAAGCGCCATGATTATTTATTTCAACTTGCTTGTTTATTGCAATCTTACACATGCAAAATATAAATTACAACGGAGCACATCAAAACAAAACTTTTCAGTCGGCCATTTTTTCACAGAGAGTGACCATAGACTTTGAGCTAGCTTTTTAAACTCTAAACCATAAATAAATGTTTAGTGTTGTCATTACTCAACAGCAATTTATTAGGTCCAATGACTAATAACTGGGGACAGTTGAAGAAAAAGAGCTAAGATTCGGTACCAAGTATTCGCGGTTCTCTATGCTGTAGGTAAACTGACGTGTGCTGCAGGTGACAATGATGTAAGACCATCCAGCTTAGTTCAATCTGATAAACGAACATCAGCATTTAAGGAAACATTTACCTTTTCAATTCTCCCGTGTTTATCGTGTTTACTGTAAACTGCTTGACTACGCCTATTCGCTAAAACTGTTGTCAAGGATTTTATGCTCCAAATGTGCTTCGTTGATGGTGAAAATAATATATGTACTATCTACTCCTATTCAAGATCTTTGAAATCGAACCAGGAAGCATAAATATTAAAGAACATAGCTGATCTACTAAGATTTTTAAAATAAATCAAGATTGTTTATTTAAGTCGAAATAGGCGTCAAATTAATTAATTAAAATTAACGGCACGTTTAATTTATTGCATCGCAGACATCGATATTTTAATTGCAGCATATTTTAGTCACATGCCTAGTTATAAAATATTTTGCACGTAATATTACCTATATGGTGGAAGCGTGGAAGACAACGCCTTAATGGGTTGATGGTGTGTTGCATCATCAGTTCATCATATCGGTGCAAGTTTCGATAAAAACAATTGGATCTAACGCCATCAAAAAACTAAATTATGTCAATTGACTGATGACTTCGACAATCGAACAAACTTATTTCTATATTCTGGGTGTTTGGTGGGTCCCTCTACAAATTCGTCAACAACATCTATGTTATCTATGCGCTAGCTAGCGCATCCCATGGAATGACACGGGATGGCAGTGTCACGTACTAGACTGGCCCAGTGTGGGTCATAGTTCGGCAGTCTTGCATAGTTACTAGACTGTCTCGAATAATTTTTAGTACTACGCAAGCAATGTAAACTTTTTACACATATACCGTCGCTGCTGTCATCATTGCTGTCACGACGAGCAATGTGTTCTGTTTTTGGGCATATTGCTGCGACACTGGCCCCGCCCCCTTTTCACATCTGCCTTAAGTTTTTGTGATCTATGTGAAATAATGAGTCCCACTTCGAAGTCTTCAACATCACACAT